CAGAGGTCCTGGGTATCACCTGGGTGTGGATGCATGGGCTGACCCGTAAGCATCAATGGGGCTGGAAGAGAGATGGCTCCAGCGGCGCTTGTAGCCCTTAGGAAAGCTCCCACCACCCAGCAAGCAATGCAGGTCATTGGCTTGATTTGAGCAGAGCCAGTACAGTCTGGCTTTTGTCATGGGTCATGAATGGGGAGCACCTCCTTGCCTTAGGGCCCCCATGCATCCTCGAAGATAGCCTGCCATGGGATCTGCTCCTGCTTTCATGGCAGACTCAGCTGAAGCCGGCAGGAGGCTCAAATGCCGGACTGGGGGCAGGTGTGACACCTCCAACACCCATCAGCTGTGAAGAAGGAGGCAGCCACCAGCTCCAGGGCTGCCACATCCCTTCTCAAGTGCTTTGCTGCCCCAGGGAGAAATCTGGCCAGGCAGTGCCTGCCACCACTGCCACCCTTTGTTGCCCCACATTTCTATCTGTGGACATTGCACTTCCCACAGGCCATGTTTTGAATGACATGGATGCAACTGGTGTGCACACCAGGGCAGGTGGGTGCCCTCAGGAACACTGGGTGTAAATGGCACATGTCTGTATGGAGAGATGCTTCTGTTCTAATTTACAGGCTTTTAAATAATATCCAGGCTCTAGATGTCACACAGGCAGGGTCCTCTGCTGACTCTGGACCAGAGCGAGGACTGAGCTGTGGGTAATGTGGACTTGAATTTATGCTCCAACAAGAAGCTGACTTTGCTGAGATGCTGGGGGAGTGATTGGGGTGGAACGGGGAGTGGGGGTGGATTTCTAGTCCTGCCTTGGTTTTGCCCTTGAAGACTGGTGGTTTAAACTACAGCAGTTTTGTGGACACAGAAAGGGCATCACAGAACGCATTTACATATGGCCCCAGGGCTATCATTATCTTGCAGGCAACAGCAGAGCCCTCCAGGAGGAGGATTCCCATATAGCAGCTATAGGTGGTGGGCAGGCTCACAGGAGCGGGGCTGGGAGGGAGAAATAAGGGGGGGGGGGGCAGTTCAAGGGCTGCTGGTGACAGCCCAGCAGCAGGGAGTTGGAGAGCAGGCACGCAAGCGTGGAAGAGTTTTGGGGGAGCAGAGACTGGGAAGTGGTGATGGGAACCTGAAATCCATGTTGGAGGGGCACCATCCTGTCGCACATCAGCTGTGTCAGTGTCCCTTCAATGCCACGGCTGGTGCTCGTGACAGAGGAAGGTCTGAGCTGTGCTTTCCAAAGGGGGTTTGGGTCTGCATCCCCTGTCCCACCTGACACACAACCCATGCCTGGCAGGCAGCCCCGGGACCCTGCGGAACAGGAGTGCTCATTCCCTTGGGACTCATCTGGGGCATCCTGGAGAGGTGACAGTGGTGATGGAGCAATGGGGCAGCTCGGCAGGGCCATAGGCAGCTGCCTTCGAAGCTCACCAGGAGCATTTCCCAGGAGCAGACACAGCTCCCTCTGACCCTGGCCAGCAAGGAAATTTCTTGGAGTGGCGCAGGGCAGAAGCAGCGACGGGTCCCTCTGCTCCTTTTCTCTGTTTCATCGCCGCAGGGAAACAACTGCTCTCTCTTAAAGAAAAAAAAAATCCCTCGGAGCAGCTTTGCTCGATGCCTTCGCTGGCCTCTGCGGGAGCTGCCGCCTGGCCTGTGCCGAGCACAGCTGCTCCCACCGCCTCTGCCTTCCCCTGCCTCTGCATCACACGCCTCTCCCTGCCTTTCATCCCTCTCCCTCCCTTTCTTTTCCCTTGCCTTTGTTCACACTCTCCAGTGGCAGAGCCCAGGCTGCTGCGGGAGGGAGATACGGGAACCTCCAGGTCCTCAGCACTGGCTTTCAGTGCTGGCTCCCCAACTGCTCCCCAATGCCCCTTGAGGTGGGGCAAAACGAAGGAGAAACCTTTTCCCTGGCCTCCCCTCTTCTTCACTCAGACACGTCTTTCCCATGCCCTCTCCTTTCTGCTTGGCAGGGAGCCCTCTTGCTTTGGATGGGTTTGGGGCGACAGGAACAGCATGGCCACACAAAGTAGCGTTTTGCTTTGCAGAAGCAGCTTGAGAGCTTTGGTGGTTGAACAGGAGACAAAATAAAGAAGAAAAGCACATACTAGGTCACAGGTGGTGAAATTCTCCCTCTGCCCTCGGAGGGGTCTGTGAAGCAGCTGCCTCAGGGGGGGTGGAAGATGTGATGGGCAGAGCTCACCAGGTCCTGTGCAGAGGCACCCAGGAGGTCCATGCATGGGGTGGTGGGTTGGGGGACAGTGGGACTTCTTCCTGTTTCTTGCCTGGCTTTTTTCTCAGCTCATCTTGTGGCACCTCATGCCAAGGGACGTGGACCACAGCTGCCAGGACTGTCTTGGAGGGAGGGCAAAGAGGCTGGATGGTGCTCAGCAGTACAGTCCATTGCTTCATCACCCAAGGAGCCATCCGGAGCTCTCTCAGACCCATAGCGAGGCCCCACCAAGTACGGGGTAGGGGGTGCTGCACATGCAGGTACCTCTTTTGGAGATACCTTGGAGATGGAGGGGTCTAAACCTTTTCTAACCCTCCTTTTCTCCAACTGCAGAGAGTTTGCATCTGGGAAGTGTTTAATTTAGAAAGGCCAGTGCTGCTGTATCACATCTCCTGTGTCGGTCTCTGTTGGTTTATGACCAGTGAAATCCTGGTGTGAAAACAGAATCAGGCTTTGATTTCATCTGCCCCTGCTGTTTTATGCCACTAACAACTTTGCATTTCTATAGCAGCTTTTATTCTAGGAGCTAAATGGGCTTCACAGACAGGCAATTAATTAATTGAGCCTCCCCAACCAGCCTACACCCTCAATGCCACAAGGAAGCATTTTGCAGAGGAGGAAACAGGCAGAGAGGAGCAAAATTACTTGCCCCAGGTAAAGAGATGAACTCACTGCTGACGTGCTGCTGCCTCCACAGCAAGGCGTTATGTTCTGCTGGTTGTGCCATTGCTCCTGGCTGCCGTGGAGATGGTCATGATGTCATTTCCAAACTGGTGGGGGAACTGGTCTCAATGGGGGGAGTGACTGAGGAAGGTCTTTCGGTATCTATCAGTGATTGCCATCGCCAGAGCATGTGAGCCCAAATTAACTCATGAACTGCCACCACCTTTGACCATCCCAGCCTCTGGCTGAGGAATTCCCTGAGACCATCAAACAGTGCCAGGAGGTCCCACTACTGCTTCCCCTTTCCATCCTTGCTGACCAACTCCTGTTTCTCCAGGAGGCACTCAGGTTTTGCAAGGGAAGGTGGTTTCGGCTGAAGGGTTTGCTTTGGTCCAGGTGCTACAGCCAAAATTTAGGGAGGCACCCGCCACGATGTCACGAAACAAGAGAGGGATGATCCTCAGCTCCCCTTTCCAGGTCCTGCTCACTGACTGGTGAGCAAGACGCAGCCCTGAGAAGCTGCGTGCTGCCGGCAGGATCTGGGGCACCTGGAGGAGGTGGGGGAATGTGCCTTTGCTCATGCAGAGTGAATATGTTCCTGGGGAAATTGCCTGCCTTTTATTATGAAACCCTGCTAATGGTTTGTTGTCTACACAAATAAGCATGGGGAATGAACTCGTGCACTTCCCAGCCTGCTCCGTGTCTTCCCGGCTCAGCTCCTTTCTGAACAAACATAACCTTTTGCAAGAATACCTGTCAAAATCGCTCTGAAATATTGAAATAACAGGATGGGATATGGTTTGCTCCTGGGCCCTAGTGCTCATCCGTCAGGACTCGGGATGTCCATCCAAAGAGACTTGTGAGCAGGATGCAAGGGAAAACTGGCAAGCAGCAGGGCCCCAAAGGGCTGCGTTTGGGGAGCTTCTCGCCTCGCTGTGGTGGCTCGCTGGGCTCCCACACACTCACCAGGGGAGCAGGGCAACTCCACAACCCTCGTGTGGCACCCGCTTCGTGTTGGTCATGGGGTGAGACATGGGGGCTTGCGACTCAGCTGGAGCTAATTGGGGCAAAATAGTGTCCTTCAGCCACTGACGGGGCCTGGGATAACTTTCATGGCCTCAATGCCTCCCTCCTCCTCCTCACCCCATGAGCTGGGCATCATCTGTGAGTATTTTAGAGATGGGGCAAAAAGCGATTGAGTCTTGGACAGGCTTTGGATCAATGGTTGAGGGGTATGTGGCTGCTTGGGTGGACACGAGACATGAACACAGGGCCATTCCCTTCCCTTCCAGTCTCAGAGTCCCAAGGGCTGTTCGGGGGCTCCCCAGGGTGTCCAGCTCCAAAGCCACCCATGTAAAATGGGAGTCAAACTGGCCCGTGGGCAGCACTAGGGCTGCAGGCAGGAGATGCTGCACTCCCTGCCTGAGGCTGTGGCTGCTTTTGGCGTTATCCACGGGGGAGCTGCTGGATGTGCAGTGATGGGGGTCCCAGGAGTGAGGGGCAGGATCCCTGGGCCAGGGCCTCTGCCTGCTGTAGTAGGTCTCAATATGGGCAAGATGTAAATGCTTAGTGTCTTCTCCCTTGGCAAAAAATCACTCCTCAATGATGTCCTTCTCTGGAGAGCAGCAAGAGGCTTTCTGCTCTCATTGCTGGCTCCCCATCTTGAAAGGTAAGAGGATAACCCACCCCTCAGCAGCTGGCCCCAAGGGCCACCGCTCTCCAGGTTTAGGGGGAGAGACCGACACTTTTTAATGTGCAAGAGACATTCCATTGCATGGTGGCACCTGCTCAACCCAGAGCCTTTCACTGCTCAGCCCCTTCCCTGTTGCTGGTTGTGAAGGTCTCTCACCTGGAATAAGGGGGGGGGGGATTCTGCTTTTCTGGGTACATGCCTTTTTTCTAATGTACTTGGAAGTGATGAGAATTTGGACACAGACAATTGTTGGGAGAAATCAGAATCAAACACTTAGAAACCCAAACACTCCCCACCCCCCAAAATATCCTGTCAACCAACCAACCACCAAGCAACCACCAAAAAAGTCCTTCAAACCAAATTCCATCTCTTTCGCTAAAATCCGTGATTAAAACCTGGTACAAACCGGTCAATATAGATATATATATATATATTTTTTAGTAGATGTAGTATTGTTTTTTTTTTTCTCCTCTCTCTTTCTCATTATACAGCAAACATTGCAAATATAGAAATTTTCTCTGTACAATTAACGACTTCGGTTTACAATGCAATGTGTGGTAAAACCTCTCAGTGAGTGAAAATGTGAACGGGCCTTCAACCGGGTAAAAGTCTAAACTGGAAGACTCCGTTTGCAAAAACAGCCCAAAGGATGGATCTCCTTCTGGTCTCTTTTTGGTTTTTGTTGCTGTTTTTGTTGCTGTTGATTTTGGAAGGGAAGGAAGGAAGAACACAAACTGTTCACAAAGAATCCACAAAATCACGGAATAGGGACTCATGCAATGCAATATCGGGAAACGCCAGACCTCAGCTCTCTGCCCACTCTTTCACTTTCTTTTTATATTCAATTTTTTCTTTTTTCTTTTTTTTTTTTTAAAAAATTGAAATGAAACAAAACCTTTTTTTTTCACTCCACAGTTTGTTTCTTTTGTAAAGTTTGTGTTCAAATTTGGTGCGTCTCACCAGTGTGAGGACATTTTAATATCTCATTTTATATATTATATAGAATATTTATAGATTTTCATAATTTGTTCTCTCTTTTATTTTTATTGATTTTTTTTTTATTATTTTATTTTGTTTCAAAGACAGTCTAAATAAAAATAGCTGCTGCAGATTTCTTTTGGTCCAGTTAGTGTGTTAAGTCACGAGTTGTGTGAGGACTCAGGACTTTTGCTGGGCAGAGACGCCCTTCCAGTAGTCTAAGATGTCGTGAAGATCCTCGTCTTTGGCAAACTGGACCTTTTTGCGTAGGGCATGGCCGGCTGCCATATACTCCTCCTCGTCTTTGTGCCGCTTGCGGTTGAGTTTGAAGCGCTCCCAGATGCTGTGCGATGGTTTGCAGGTGTACTCTGGGCTGGAGGTGTAGCTCAGGTTGTGATATTGAGGCGAGAGCTGGGAATAGGCCAGGTCTCTGGGGCGAGGACGGGTCAGAGGCTCCAGGATGGAGGGCTTTCGCCCTGCCATGCTGTCGTGCTGCTCCCCTTGGTGCGAGCTGGGGTACGAGTGCCGGTGTTCGCTGTACTGACGGATCTTCTCCGCCTCCGCCCGCAGGATGGCCGCGGCCGGTGTCACAGTGAGGATGGTGTCGGTGGTGGGGGATGTCTTCTCAATGTATTTGGCTTCTGATTTGTGGCCCGATCCCTCGGAGCGGTAGGACCTGGGGCTCCGTATGGAGCCACTGGAAGAGGTGCTGGAGCGTTTGGGGGCCGCCTCCATGCTGTGGTGTCGCTGGAGAGGGTGGTTGTAGCTTTCCTTGTAGACAGGGGAGAGAAATCCATGCTTGCTGGGGATCTGCTCTGATAAGAGCACCAGCTGAGGCTCCACTGTGGAGACCGCCCCCGATTTCACCCCTTGGAAGGAGGTGGACTCAGATTTCAAGGCATCAATGCAGTTGTTGATGATCTGGTTCACCTTGTCCACCTCCTTGGCAATGGTGGAGATCTCAGCCACAGAGCTCTGGGTGTCTGGCGGCAGGGACAGCTCGCAGTCTCGCCTCTCGGGCTGCTCACCCGTCCTCACCTCCATGTAGTTGCCCTTGGTGGCCTTGGGGGTCTCACTGCTGTCAATCAGCTTGTACTGCTCAACCTCACCAGCGGAAGGCAGGTAGGGGATGCGGGTCACTGTCTCCCCGCCCAGCATCTGCCCCTGGGACAGCTGGGTGATGCTGGTGGTCTCCATTTCTGGCCCATATTTCAGCTCAATGATGGTCTTCTTCATGCTGCCGGCAGCCTTTTTGTGCTTCTCCTCCTGCTGGCGCCTCTTCCGGAGACAGTAATACACAACGCCCAGGACAATCACCATGCCAAAGAGACAGCCCAGGATTGTCATGATATAATGAGTGGCAGTGGAAGGGGTGGGCACTGGCTCCTTGCGGTTGGGTCTGGTGGGTGTGATGGTGACGCAGGTGTGGTTGTACTTCGAGTATTGGTGGACAGAGACTACACAGTAGGTGTAGTCTCTTTGTGCTACTAGGTTGCTCACGGTGATGTTCTCCTCCTTCTTCCTGAGCTTGGTGATCATGGAGGAGAAGCCGTTTTCAAACTGGGAGAGGATGTACATCTTGCTGAATGGGTAGGGAATCTGCACGGTGAGGACGGCTGAGTTGTGGTTGAGGTGCTTCACCTGGATGTTGGGGCGCACCTCTGTTTCGCCGATGGGAGTGAAGAGGGAGAACTGCGGGGTCGTGCCATCGCCGGAGGAGCAATCCTCCTCGGAGCAGGGGCTTTCGGAGGGCACCGTGGTCACCTGGTACCTGGGAGGGATAAAACGAGGGATCACAGTGTAGGAGCCGCCGGTGCAAAGGGAAGAGAGCATGCTCAGCGCATTGCGGTAGCCAGTCCGGCCTTGGCCCAACAAGTAGTAGCCCATGTAGTCAGGTGGGGAGTCGCACTGCATCCGGTCGTACGTGCGGGTCATGTTGGTGAAAGCTTCCAGCCATTGCAGGAAGCCAAGGAGCTCGCAGGAGCAGTAGAAGGGGTTACTGTAGAGTTCACAGACAGAAAGCTTGTTTAGGCCCCGAAAAGTGTTGCTGTCGAGTCTCTGGATCCTGTTCATGGACAGGTCAATGTTCACTATGTTGGGGCACTCCCAGAAGGCATTGGGGGTGACGGACTCGATGAGGTTGGCCTGGAGATAGAGGTACTCCAGCTTCCCCAGGCCCCGGAGGATGCCCTCGGTGAGGTTCCTCAGTCGGTTGTAACCCAGCTGCAGCACCTGGAGGTTGAACTGTCCTGAAAAGGCACCGTCCTCGATGTAGGAGATCTCGTTCTTCGTCAGGTTGAGGTATGTCAGGTTGCCGAAGCGGCTGAGCGAGGCGTACTGCACGCTCTTGATCTTGTTGTCGTTCAGCCGCAAGTCCACAATGGTGCTGTTGATTTGCTGGGGGATGGACTCGTAGGGGGGCTGGTTTTGGCTGCAGATGGCCAACCAGACGAAGCCCTTGTCCCCCTCGATGAGCCAGCAGTCTGCCCGCACCCCGCCAGCGTGCAGGAGAGAGACGGCTGCCACGCACATGCAGAGGGCTGACGTCGCGGCCCACCGGCGACCTGCCATCTGGAAGGGTGGCGTGGAGAAGGAGTGCCTGGTCTGCCAGAAGCGGGGAGCGGGACAGGGGCCGGGAAGACGTGGGCTAGTGCTTCTTCAGCAGCTTCGCTCGCCTCTCCCTTCTCCTCATGGCTTGGAGACGGGGGGGAAGCATCCGTGGAGAAAGCGGACCTCGGTGCCCGCGGTACTCGGCAGCCACCGGCCGGGGGCTACTACCAAGGCCTGGGTGGCTGAGGCTGGTCCCGCATCACCAGGTCTCTGGCATCTCGGGGAGGGAGTCATGAAGGTAGGTGCCCGGGCGGAGGAGTCCCTCTGGCTTAGAGACAAGCCTTCCTCTCACTTCTTATAGTACCTCTCCTCGTTTTCTTTTTGCTGCCCATCATGACGCTGGTCCCCATCTCCACGTGCCTCCGTAGGTCTGGCTGTCCCAGCTTGATCTCTCAGCTCACCTGTTCAAAACAAATCACAAGCACAAACTAAACATGAAGGAAAGACAGTTAGCATTTAGAGGCGTTGGAGATGCATCCAACTGCCCTCTTAATGTTTGGCACATGCCTTCTAACTCTGGCTACCACCTTTCAAGGAGCCTTTGGTTTATCTGGGTGCTGCCACCAGCAGCGTTTGGCAGCAAAAGGGAAGGTGGTCACTGACCATGGAGGTCATCCTCTGAGCCCATCATCCAGCATCACATTGTAGGCAGTTGAGAGACCAACACACATCCAGGGCACTGTTCGTCTGACCTATTTAGGTGTCTACCTTAGGAAGAGAGGAGTGATGCCCCAGAAGTGTCTGTTCCTCTCCGCTGAGAGCAGACGAAGTCTAGACAACTCGCTCTGATGTAGATTTGATGCTGCAGCGTTTTGCTGAGGGGAATCCTAACTGTCTCGTGTGCTGGTGTGCGCAGCGGCAGTGCCCACAGAAGGGGATGCTGATTGAGGACACCGTGTCTCTCTGACTGCATTGCTGCGTGGCATCTAGGATAAAGCCCAGCCTCAAGCGCCTGTCCTGTTTCTGGGAACCTGAGCAGTAGTTTCAGAGCACTCTTTGACTGCAAAACACACTAGCGTGATTGTCCACCATCCGATGTCCTTGTCCGTGGCTGGGGCTTGCTGCCTGTCTCCAAGACTTCTCTCTCCCTCCTGGGTGAAATGTTGCGGAGGTGAGGAAGACCCTCAACCGTTCAGTGCCATAACAAGAGTATTTGCAGAAGCTGGGACAAGACCTTCCCTCCCCACCCAGAAAAAGCTGTCTGAAGTCCAGGAAGAGTCTTCACTAGACACAAACCTGTGGGGCTGCCAGCAGCCTCACTTCCCACAGAAAATCTCTCATTCCAGGCTCACATTTTCCATTATTTTTTCCTGCATTTTTGACTAAACTTAAATATCCATGGACAGCACTTCTACCTCCTTTTGTGATTTCTTAGGAAACAGGAAGGCAAAAGTGCATGAGCATGAGCATCTCCTCAATCATGCTTTTCCACAAGATGTTGAAAATATCATCCATGGACATCTCTACTGCCAAACAGCTCTCTCAGCTGGTAGGACAGATGCAGTGAGGTGTTGTGGCAGAGACGGAGTTGCCCACAAATGGGGAGAAAATATCTCGGCCTAGCTAGAAAAATCCTTCTTGGGACTTTTGTTGGGAACAGGAGCTCTGGTTGTCTCGCTTGTCCCAGGGCAGACTGTAGGAGGCAGGCACTCCTTGAAAACACAGCTGGCAGGAACTGGAGGTTTCTTGGGCATCCATGAAGGTCACAGGGGCACATCTTACATCTAAATTGTCTTTCATTGGATCTGCAAAATAGTATAAATCCAGAAATTGGTTTCCAAACCATTTCCCAGTGCCCAGGCAGTGAAGGGACTGTGCTTGGTGCTGCACGCCTGCAAATCGCATGAGGCTGATGATTGTCAAGGGGCATTTAGATGCAGATACCATACTCTCACCCTTGTTCTGAAGAAACCAGGTTCTTTTCCACCTGTGATACCAGGCAATGAAGCAGACCATGTTTCACTGCAGAGATCCCTGTTAACTTTTCACAGCTTATACCTCGGTAAACAGACCAGTAATAATAAGCAGTAAAACAATTTATTTGTTCTTTCTGGATTGTGAACAATGAGTCTGTTCCCTGGTGGCACAGTTGGGTTTCCATTACGTGAATAATGAGATCTGCTCTCACATCAGCTCTCTGCACATGAGACTCTCTGGCCACCTTGTCCTCCAGCAGATGCCCCACCAGCTGCTGGGGGAGGTGAGGCTGGGGGGGAAAACAACAACAACACTGAGTTTCTACTCAGTGCCCCTCCGGAGGGCAGGGTGTGTGGTACAGCCTTCTTGCAGGCTGTACCGTCGGCGGTGGTTGTGCAGTTGCTTATGGGTGAGATGTACGGGCCCTAAGATGATGCTTCTGTGGGGCCCTGCCTGGGTACTTGCAGGTCTCTCTCTGCCTCCCCAGTGCCTGGTACTGTCCTATCCCAGCTACATTTGGCAGAAAGCTCAACAAAACCAAGTTTTCAAAAGTTTACTAGAAATGGGGCCTGGGTGGAAGGGACGCTGAGGGCAAGGCAGCTGAATCTCAGGTGTCCTCCTTCCTGGGGGGTAGAAACCTGGACTTTACCATGCTTTTACATTGCTATTCCAGCTGAAGCCCTTACATCACCACAGTGACACCTATATTGCTGGTAACCCTATTTTGGGGAACAATACCTGCTGCACTGGCAGAAGCACATTTGCAAGGATGTGCTGTCCCAGCCCTGGGATGCTTTCCCAGGACCTGGAAGCCCATTTTGGCATAACTGAGTCCTTGGAGCCAGTGAGGAAGGGAAGAAGGACTATGCTCCCTGGGGCACTGCAGGTGAGAGTCCCCCCTTACCACCTCCCCAGCTGACGGGTGAAGCACGGGCTGCAATACCAGGCTGAAAGACGTCTGCTGCTACATCCCTTCTGGCACTGGACAACTCAATTAACCTCTCTGCGCTCCAGCCTCCTCTCCGGTACCGTGAGATAATGATAGCACTTCACAGGGCTGTGGGAGACTGAAAGTGCCCTGAGCTCCTCTTGTTGGGATGAAAATTGTGTTGCAGGTGGAGACTTTCTCTCCCTCCAGCTGCAAGCTGGGCTTTAGTCGTGCCCGCTCTCCTCTGCCACAGGGACCAGCCTGGTCTCCAGCTCCGCAGACTGCCTCCTGTGGCAGTGCACATTGCCCCTAAGGGTGTGGGAGAAGGTATTCCTGGCCCGCAGAGCCATAAGCAAAGGCTTGCCCCAGTTGTCCCTTTGGGATGGCACAGACTTTCCTTGCCTGCTGCCCTGCAGTGCTTGTCCTTGGCATGAGCATCTCCCTGTCCTCCTCCATGGGCTTGTGCATTACAGGGACCTCCCGCAGGCAGGGGAAGCCCTGCCAAACCGAGACAGCACACAAGGAGGGATGCATCTTGGCATATTCTCTTTAGCAAGCACTTATTCTGTCTCCTCGAACTCCCATTTTGACCCAACCATCCTCTCTGGGCAAGCTTGTGTTTGGGATTGCTCTGCAGAGCCAAACCAGTCTTTTTCTTGCAGAGGAAGGTTCCCTGTTACTCCCACCTGGGGAGGCTGTGGGCTGCAGCCCGTGTCAGAGGGCATTAGCTAGTGGAGCAGGACGATCCCGTGAGCAAAGAACAGAGCCAGACCCTCCACGGACCTTGCCAGGCTGATCCCCTATAGCCTTCTCATCACCCATGTGCCTCCCTCATCTAATTGGAGGTGCCGAGGATGAAGAACGGCAATGGTAAATGACTCAAACATGTTCAATAAGGCTCCTGCTGTGTGTTTTCTCTTCTTTCCTGTACGTTGCCTATCAGACGAGTCCTTCCCAACAACAGAAAGGAGAAAAGGCATTTTATCAGCAGCCTGAGTTTAATTTCAGCTCATTAAAGCAGGCAATTTGCTGGTTTATTTGCTTTGCAAAGTGTGAATAAAATGACAGCATTAAGGAGATGTAAGAGAGGAAAGAGGGGCTAATCTCCCTTTTTATTAGATTGCCGGGACATAACTGGGGAGTGGAGAAGTGGGTCTTGTTGCTTTGCACAGAAGGCATAATTGTTCATCTTGTTGGCTTCTGAAAGCCTCCTTCCCAGCATCACGCCAACGCGGGTGCATGTGGGTGTGTGCCTGCGTGTGTGCACTGCGACATCAGCCAAGCGCCGAGCATCCTGCAAGGCAGGATGGGAGCAGGGGCACTTGCAGTGGTTCCCAACTCATCTCCCTGTAACAGCAAATAACAGACATCCAAGAGGTTTCTCCTTCTTCACTTTTCTACCTTTTACCTCGCCTCTAATCTCCCTTTTCTGTTCTTTTCTGCTTCTGAAATCCCGAGCTTCATTCTTGCAGGTTAGAAATAAAGCAGCCGGTCGGCCAAGGAGCCTTTGTTGTCCCTGACCTCCTGCAGCTGGGACATGGCTCTGGAGAGCAGGGCAGAGACCCCCCCGCCTCTTCCCCACAAACTGGATAAAAATCAGTAAGATAAGCTAGTGTTTTAACCCTCCTGCCTGACTGATTTGTCTTTGCCCAGCTGTCCTGGTTTTATTCTCCTGGTAACCTAATTGCACACCACATTTCCCAGTCCTCTGACCCTCCACAGAGGTGCCTGGGAAAATCTGGGAACAAACCACCTACAACTCTAATGTGAAAAACAACCAGGAAAGTGGAGATTTGGGGTTCTCCTTCACTGATTGAGAAAGAAGCAAAAGATAGGAAGGAAGACGGTGTGGAATAACAATAACAATGATTTGAAATGATGAATTTAATCTCAGTCGGAGTTATCTTGAACTGTGGCACCATGCTGATGATGACAACAGGCCACGTCCACAGGGAGGCCACGGTACCCACCCAGTACCTTGCAGGAAATATCATTCCTGCCCAGAGTTACCTGTACACTGCAGACACTGCTGTATTTCCCTTTCCTTCTGCTGTCATAGGGCAGCATGGTTTGACCAGCTGAGAAGATGTTGGGCTCGTGTGGCTTACAGAGGCCA